GTTTTGTAAAAATCGACGCGTTTCAAAAAGGCGGGGCATAGAGGAGAAACAATAATGTACAGTATGTGGAAAATAATGTGTTTTTTGAACTTTAAACCGCATAAACACATTTCATTACACCAAATACACAAAATAATGTTCTTTTTAGCAGCATCATATGACCCCTTTAACTAAGTTTTTAATGACCATTGACGATTGTTTAATGCAATACTGAGTTTTAAAGGGTTAGTTCATCCAAAAATGAAAATTCTGTCATTAATTACTCACCCTCAAGTCGTTTCAAACCTGTAAGACCTTCGTTCATCTTCAGAACACAAATTAAGATATTTTTGATGAAATGTGAGCGCTCTCAGACCCTGCATAGACAGCAATACAACTTAAATGTTCCCAAGTCCAGAAACGTAGCAAGGAGATCGGTAAAATAATCCATGGGAACTCTTTATGTACTCTTTATGACTTGGGAATATTTTAGTTTTATTGCTGTCTATACAGGGTCTGAGAGCTCTCAAATTTAATCAAAAATATCTTCATTTGTGTTCCAAAGATGAACGAAGGTCTTATGGGTTTGGAATGACATGAGGGTAAGTAATTAATGACAGAGTTTTCATTTTTGGGTGAACTAACCCTTTAAATTGTGCAAATATATAAAGTCCATAGGATTCAGATCGTGGATCGTGATTGTGTTATAAGATCGTGATATGATATTTTAGGAAGATCGCCCATCCCTACACTAAATACACCTTAAACTAGAACAGACCCTAAAATAACAGAGAAAAAAAAGGGATGAGCAGCACTTAACTAGATGTAAAACAGCTGACCTTAAAATGCAGTGTAGAGATTTGAATCATTAAAACTTTTTTTGATGTGTTCACTCACATGAACCATTGGAACAAAACAATTCACTAGAATGAACCGGACTTTCCAACAACACATTTGAGAGAGTGAGTGCATAGCAACAGCCAATGTAGCATTGGAAAAAACAGCAAATGTTTTGGGGGGGAAAAAAAATCTGATTCATAACAGAAAAGTTACACTACTTCTAAACTACGATACGGCTCCCAAACTACAACTAGTAGCCCCGCAACTTTTGGTTAGCTACTCCCCAACACTGTTAGGGCCCTACAAATGCATGTCTAATTAATTCAAATCATGAACCTTAAACAATTTAACATCAATTTATTAAAAGTTGAAATGTTTTTTTTTTTCTCACCTTATGTTTTCTTGTTACCAAATTCCCTGTTTTAGCACGTCTAATTATTTGAATGCATAAAAACAACTTAATTTATTCAAATTTATTCTTACAACAGCCTTATGAAATGTTTTTTTGTGTGTTAATTTTCTGGTTATCAAATGAAGGCATAAAACATTAATTTAATTTATCTTTTAATTAATTAATTAACACCTTTAAATTTCGGTGTGTATATGATATGACGCTAGTTTTACTCAAATGAAACGGTAAAATGCTTATGAACTACTCTCAGAGCAGTTCTGGAGATATTGTTCATGTATTTATGTCCTCATTTAGTGAGACAGCAGACGCTGAAATCACCACGAGCGTCACACGCACTTCAGTAAGTGTAGTAAACGAAACTGCGTGTCTGCACTACTCATTCACACAGAGACACGCAGAACATGCAGGATTCATATTTAAATAAGTTTTTTTGCAGCTTAATATTTACAGATACTAGTCCATATCGCGATTTGATTTAAGTGTAATGACCAACTTTTGATTAATTCATCCAACCTTTGAAAAATTCCGTAACATTCCGCGTTATAGGCTTGCCGCGATAGACGGTGCTGACGGTGATACCGGTGTTAAACCGCAACAGCGGTTATGTCACTTGCCCACCGCGGCACCGACCCCTACCGTCGGTTTGATTTTTTTTTTAATAGTAATAAAAATAATTTAGTTCAGTAAAAGAACAGATACTACAATTAAAAACTGAACGTGGCTGCTCAATGCAGCGTGCCGAACGACAGTCGCATCACAGATCAGATTTCATTTATCCAGTGAGGAGAGTGGAAATTAAGTATCAAAATATTAGATACCTTAAAAAACTTGAATAAATAGTAAATAAACATTTTCTAACAAAAAGTGCAAACAAGTACAAAAAAAAGAAAAATGCACTTTTATGGAGATTTTTCCATCTACAGATTTTTCCCGGACCTTCTTTTCTCTGTAAATTAAGGGTGCACACTATTGCTGA